ACTGAGCAATGATTTCTTTGTAAGTCTTATGTGCACTGAGTGGTGTAAATATTCCTAGATGGTAGATTTCCCTTTGTGTATCCTGGGAACCTAAAAGCATCTAAGAAGCAAAACCTATTTTCATAGTAATTTCTCATTTGAATTTATGACTTATCTAATACATTGTATATGGAACTCTCATTTGCATACATTATATATTATAGTTATTTATGAATCACTTAAGACATACATTGTCCAATTAAGTTTAATTTGTTCTGGTTTTTGTGACAAGTGATACTCTATTTATGTACAGAGCTCTTTTTTAACAACTTTGCTATGCATGAACTTGTCTCTCATTTTCTAGCAAGGAATACAGCTTTAGTTTTTTATCTGACATTATGGTTTGCTGTGTCCCTTTGGGCTAACTGTATTTCACTTTCTCTCTTCTCTCTAGTTTTGCATATTTGCTTCTATCTTGGCATATAAAGATTTTTCTTTCTTCAAAGTTTGGCTGTACACTTAAATTTGTTTGTTATTTTATATATTATATATATTTTTTAAAAGAAGAGGAAATTCTTGTGTAAGTCCTATATAGCATGGTGAATACTCTGTCCTTTGGAATATGGTAGGAGCTCAAACTCCTCTATGGGTTCTGTTTTTATTGAAGAAAAAAACTAATACAAAAAACATATGCCTGACTTTCCCAGAGAGGTGGCTGATTACTTGTAGTTCACGGAATATTATCCCTTTCTGGCTTTCTACACATAGAGACATTTTTCCACTTACTCTCATCACTGGTTTCTCTTCCTGAGACTGTCAATTTATTACCTGGCTCTTGTCTGCTCTCCATGGATAATTTTATGGATTTATGGTATAACTGAAGGGTTTTAAACAATATTGTCAGAGATATCACTCCTAAGATTTAAAATGAATTTACCTGACTACTAGATATCTGTTAGGTGTCTCCACTTCCACCAACATGTTAAAACAAATGTTGCTCCCCTGTCTCCCCAGGTGCTCTCTGACAGTCCTTTCCCCAACTTCCTCCCTTAGTGACTACTCAGGATTCTTCCTGCTGACTGTTTAATCCCAGTGAATGGTGCTCTCTTCACCCTTCACCTTCTTACTCAAGTCACTTCTCTGGGAATCCTTTTGCTTGGTTTCCTGCCTGTAGTTTCAAAAATAAATGCATCACATCAGTCAGTTTCTTCTCCTTAAAGTGTTATAGTCAATTCATTTCTCTCCATGCCCATTCATACCACTTCAATACAGGGCTCTCTCTTTCTTGCCTAGACTTATGGTGAGATTCTTATTATGTGTCCAGACCTAGAGTTCTGCTACTTCACAGTAAACTGCTCTTTTCAGAGGATGCACTCAGTCACAATAGTCTTCTGCTTCAACTATGATGATTCACAAAACTGCAATGACTTTTCTGTCCTTTCCTCTTCACTTGAAGAACACTCCTCTACACTTAATACATAAGTATTAGTATTTCTCCATGAGATTTTCTCAGACACTAAATTTTACCCTTCCTCCTTGGGCATATTTCCATTCCAATTATTACAGCATGTTTTTCCTGTGCACAGCCTTATTGGAGAGACAACTCTTTGAATGTAACACTACATATCTAATGAGATGTACAGGCTTGCACATAATAGGTGGGAAAACAGCAAGACATGTTGTATCCAAAGCCAATGTAATGCTATTTTAGCAAAAAAAAATTCCCCGGTACAAAATAATCATTGAGCTAATTTTGTAGATTTTGCAAAGAGTAATATTTAAAATTATGCTTTATTTTTTAACTCTCCTACATAATTGAATAAAACATTTCAATTTGACTGTAAAAGTGCTTTTAACTTTTATCTGACCAATTTTAGGATTTTATATGACTTTGGTTTAATATTGTAACTGATTTCAGAGAATAATACTTCATCACAGGGAAATATTTAAAAATATTTTAAAGAGCTATTTCACATGGAAAGATCATTTACATATATTAATACGGTAACCAGATCCCCAAAATATAAGGAAATATTGTAAAATTATTTTCCTCAGATCCCCAAATTAATGTAGCACTTATAAATGGCAGCTTCACATAAAGAAAAATAGAGTAAAAATAGAATAAAAAACTTTCCATAAGTCCCAGAGTTGTAAGAAGATAAAATTTTTTTTATGTGAATTACTCAAACTGTTGCACTTTGTTATAGCAAGTTTTGCAAACCAACAGATTATTTTTGGATTCTGAAGCCAATAACATGAACTCCCTATCATAATATGGCATTTCAAGGAAAAAATTATAATCTATTAATGTTGGCATTCTATAATCTGACACTTAAGAACCTCAGAATGAGTATTTGTTAAATTAATGAATTTCTGTGGATTTCTGCCTGCATTTCTAAATATTTAGTGGTATTATAGGTTGACGAACCATTTAAAGATGGGGATGGGGAGAAAGAAGAAGGCAATGTGCATTGGGAAGTCTATCAACTAGGCCTTGAATACGTCAGTGTAATGAGGAATGTCAAAGCTTTGGGGAGCAGCTGAAGCTGAAGATCTGTTGCACATGTGGGCCAGAGCAAGGCCAACCCTGAGAACAGAGGTGCCCGGGAAGAGCCAGGAGAACAAGTTGTTAGGCAGAGGGGTTACACCTCACCTCAACCTGCTGAGTGTATATATAAACTACAGTCATTTCATGGCTTCTTTTCTCCACCAAGAGAGAGGGCTCCACCTGACCTCAGCTTTCTGCATTTTCACTCCTGCCTTCATTTCTTCATGGTCCTCCCCCTGGGAGTTTTCTAAAGCTGTTCTGGATACAACACAAAGCTAGCAGTTATTCAGTGTTCTCTGTGTTTCACTTTCACGTCTTCTTCTCCTTGTCCCACTGCTTCTCTCTATTCTCCTGCAGCCCTTCTTTCTTATCTATTCTTTCTCTCCGTTCTGTCAGTGGATAGCGCACTGCATTTCTGCTTGTACATAGCTTCCACACAATCCTTGATTCACCATCCTCCATCAGTCCATGCTGCCTCCTGCCCTGGTGCTGACTCCAACCTCCTTGGTAATAGAAAAGCATTCAACTCAGGTAAAAATAAATCTTTTGCTGGTGAAATCCGTGCTTCCATGGATATCTGGTCACAATACAATGCATTTTCTCAAACAGATGATGTGACAGTGAGCTTGGATAACTTTAAAAAGTTTTGGACATAAAAATTGAAAGTACAGTATAATTTATAATCTTATAAAAACAGTTCTTAAAGCAGATCTAACAAAACATGTATAAGACTTGTATAATGAAATCTATACAACATTGATTAGAAAAATCAAACATCTAAATGAATAGAGACATATAGCATTAATAAACTGGAAGAGTAAACATAGTAAGCATTATAAACATATCTATTCTCTTCCAATTAATATATATATGTACGATGCTCCCAGCAAGACTTCTTATAGCTATAGAGAATATTATCCTAAATTTTTAAACAGCATATGTTTGCAGTACATAATGACTGCAATCATCATCAGAAGATGTTACATGTACATAATACAGCATAATTTTTTTCTTTTTAACCCCTACCTTTCTCTTTCTACCCCATTTGTAAAAAGAAGTTCCCAGCAGCCCTTGTTAGTGAGTCCACACTGGCTGTAGAATGTGAATCTTGCTGGCTATAAAGTGTGAATCACTATGGCAGTTTAAAGGTCAGTGCACCAATAAGTGTGTCTACTTTAGAAGGCATTAACCTGAATTACAGATATCAAAACTGGTATAACCAGTTCAAAAATATGGCACCTAAGTTACATTTAAGGCTGTATCAATAAAAGATTTCCTTAATACTCAGTGTAGATGGAGAATAAATTGAGAAGATAAGAAATTTCAAAGTGGAGGTGTGGGAAGAGAACAGAGAGAATATTTGATTAAGATGATATTCTTCTCCTTTTAGATTTCTCGTTGTATGTAAACTGGTAATCCAAGGCCATATGTTTAAGACTGAACTATATTTCTAAATTTATTGTACTATACTATACATATGAATAGTTATATTTTTACCTTTAGCTGTAAAACTTTTAAGAATGCAATCTGACAGGGAGATGACCTTGAAGACAAAAAGGGTTTCAGAAAAATTAAAAGCCCAAATTTTTTATTTAACACTTATTAGCTTTATTTTCAACAAATTAATTACTTTACAAGATTATTATAAATAACTTGTATTTTAATATACCAGCCAAATTTTGGATTACATTTAAAATTAAATCTGACCTAGCGTAAATGTTATTATCCAGTTTAACTCTCCAGGTAGTGCCTTACTCCACATTCATCAAAGGATATGTTAACTACCTGTAAATACCCCAGTGATAGACAAAAGTAAAGATTTTTTTTTTTTTTCCAGTACCGGGGATTGAACTCACAACCTTGCACTTGCCAGGCAGGAGCTGTGTCACTGAGCTAAATCCCCAGACCCCAAAAGTAAAGATTTTTAAAGAGTGGACTTATCTGACTCATCCTAAAAGGATGAGTTTTCATGTTAGCCACTAAGAGGCAAATCAAGAGTATATTTTTCCTTTTATAGACATTCAGATAGGGGAGTTTAGTAAAATATGTAAATACGACTGATGCTTTCTTCTGAGCAGAGTTGAATTTATTCAGGGGTCTTTATCAGCTCCTTAGAGAAACTGCTACTGTTGAAAATCATTGCAAGGAAATAATTCCCCTGAAAGGGTGCCATTAAATGATTTCTACATCTTATGACAAGCCTGGTGAAGACAAGAGTAGAGGAACATAACTTGATCCTGAAAAAAAAACACCCATTTTAGTCTAATGGAAACACTGCCATTTCAATCTTAGATGAGCAGAAAGGAAGAAGGGACAGAAAGTGCAGGTCTATTGTGTGAGGTCTATTCACACAGTGTCATGAGGAATCAAGTGCATAACATATGCCATCTGATGCGAAAATACACAATCGGGTTCTTTGTCAGGATCTATTCTTGTATAAATTCAGAGAAATTGCTTAATATCTTCACTGCAGTTGACAAAGAAGACTAAATTGGGGCTACAGAATCTTCCCTTCTGAACTCATTGTATAACCAAGAAGAAGCCATGACAAGTTTAAAATGTCTACAGGAAAATCATCTGACTACACCAACAGGTGGGTACTATGAGGCTTTGGAGAGATCAGTAAAGAGTTTTTTCTGTCATAATATTTGGCATCTGCAGATACATGTTGTTTGCAAGTCATTGTTAGCTATCTGTATAGCTCTGAAAAAGAATCATGTCTCAAATAAGAAGTAAGTTAACCTATCTTGAGGAAACAACAGCTATTAGTTCATGCGAAATTTTAGAGATATCCTTTTTAGTGTGAGGAATCCAGCACATACAGACCTTGTTGAGTTCCTGCCATGAGCTTGTCCTATGCCCAGGATTTTCTGGACTGAAGACTGCACATCTGAAAGTCTGCTGCTGTGCTGCTTCCAAATCCCATCCTGAGGCTCCCACCACAGCCAGCCTGTGTGGGTATCCCCCAGGGGTGCCCGCTCTCTTTTAACTGAATAGAATACAGACCCGGTTGTTGCTGGCTCTCCTTCCAGAAGAGGTAGCAATGGAGTCACTATTTTAATGAGACAGTCAGTGACTGCTGAGTCTAATGTTTGGCCAAATGTCGTACCTTTCAAATCTACCAGTTTTCCCACCTCCCATTCCCAGCCTCCGTTCTCCACTGATGAATTTCCATAAGCTTGTTAAGTTAACGGAAGGCACAGTTGTTGACCTAGATTATGAAGATTTCTTCCAAAATTCAAGCAAGATTTTGGCAAGGGAATTCTTGGCAGAAAATTCTTTTGTTTTTAGTGTTTTTGGTAAATAATCTTTTGAGAATAGATCAGAAATCAAAGGTACTCATTTCCAAGACTATGCTGTGAAAAGCACCAATTGTATCTTTTGGGAATTGTTTACTTATTCTTTAGAAATGAAAAGGAAAATAAATTTTAATTGTAATTCACGCATATAGAAACAATATCTTCTTGTCTTAGTCATAATATTCATTATTTACCAAAATTTGAAAAAATTGCATTAACCTTTATTTTTATCCTTGCTTTAGAGTCAAACTATCTACCTGTTTGAAGCCCTTCTACAATCCCAGTGGGTTACAGAATAAAGTTCAAATTAGCAGGCATCTCTTAATCTAACCGACATTATTTTCCTGGTTGTAGACTTCCTGTTCCCTCTGCCTCTTCAGCCTTTTACAGTATACTGCATATAGTTACTCTTGAGTTCATTAAAGATTTTACCTTGGGCAAGGATATAGCTCAGTAGTAGAGCTCTTGCTTAGCATGTATAAAAATGTCCTCTTTATTCTTCCTGCTTATTGAAATCCTCCACCTCCTCAAAGTTCAGCTGGAGATGATCTTCTCCCTGAAACCTATTGAATTGTCCCCAATTGTGGTTGCCTCCACCTTCTTTTCTTCTGTCATCATGTTTTGTATACTTTTCCCATAGTGCTGCTTTGGATTTAGATAGCTATGTACATGTGGTCTAAACCAATAACGTGCATGGTTTTAAAGCAGATTTGTTCATCTCTGTTCTACTTACTCCTAACACAGATTTGATTATTCACACAACATAAATTTCTGAAAGATCTCTTCATTGATAGAGGGGGAGTTCAGACAGGAGTTCAACTGAGCTGTTCACATCCCCACTTTATGGTTGACTGAAGTAAAAAAATATACTGTGAGGCACAGACAGAAAAGTATGAGTGGTCAAAGATTGTTATAGTAATTTTGTTTTCCTATGTGATACTGACAGTTGAACCCCACAGCATCATGCTTGCTAAGCAACTGGTCTAACACAAAGAGCACCTATGTTTGTATTATGTTGAGACAGAAATTTGCTAAATTGTCCAGGCTTGTCTCATGTGAAGAAAGACATTCTTTAGTTAATCTTTCAATGAATCACCTCAGGCCTGACCAAGCCATATGATTCTTTGATTCTGGAGAGAATCTAGCAAAAGCATTGGTGTAAAGGAAATGATTGCAGGAGATTTGTCCCTGTGGAAAGCCATGAGACAACACTAGATGCTTTGCTGAGATATACCAGAAGGAATGATAACCCTATGGCTAACTAAGTAAAGTCTTTTTCCTATGATAATTGAGTTGTATTGCCCTTGCTAAACCTGTTAATATCCTCCCATTTGCCCTGCTGCTTCCTTTGTTCTTTCTCAATAAAAGGTTACTGAAAATGGTAATTGAAGCTTCAGTTCCAGAGGCTGCTAGCCCCTGATCCCATATCTGTCTCTCTCTTGTTTTTCTTTTCATCTGTGGGCACCTTGATCTTAGGACCTGTCACCCCAGAGAGAAATGGAATATAGACCAACAGTCTCAAACTTGGCCCTCTTGTCTTAGCCTCTTGAGTTCCTGAGATTACAGATGTGTGTCATCACATTTGGCTTATAATAAATAACTTTTTTACTTTTCTGACCAGGATTATTTGAAGGCTGTTTATACACAGGAATATGTTCAAAAAAGAATCAGAATCTTTATCCAAATGGTGTGTGTGTGTGTGTGTGTGTGCATCATGATAGTCAGTTGGGTTTGTTGGTTTTAGCTTTTTTTTTTCTTAAACTTATTCTCTTCTTTCTAAACTGACACTTGAAATTCACAATGAACTTGAAATCGAAGAGCACACAAGAAGAGCCAAGGTCAGAGATGATGTGGCAGAATATTTCTCCAGGATCCCCTCTGCCACCATTATGGTTCATACTGAGTGATTGCTTCACAGCTGGCATAAGAAAGGAAGAACAGATGAGGAGAGTGCCTTTGGAGATTCTTCCACCTGTTTCTTTCTCCTTCTTCCAAGCAAGAATTAAAAAAAAACCAGAGAAAATAGTTTGAAAAATATTAATAAAATTTATTTTTATGTTCATGGCATTTTGTCAGTCAGAATCTGTTACCTGAGTCAGTATCTGTTAGTCTTGCAGTGCAGACACAGATGGGAGTGATGAATGAGGAATGGTAGAGGCAAATTTAAGAAAGAAAGTGAATGATTTGCTTCAGATATTAAAAATAGGATTTATAGCAAGATGAAGGAATGGGAAACCACCCCCAGAGATCCCTTTCTTTCCCTAGATGCCTTTACCTCCTCCACTGGTATGTCTGTAACCAACAGGTAGGTCTTCATTTTATAAGGTAGATATTCATCAGTCAGAGAAAAATGGTGGATACCATATTTTGGACCTGGAATCCTTGGGAAACAGTGGAAGACTGAGGCAGAAGATTAAAGAATGTGTGCCCCCCATTGCTTCACTGATATATCATTGTTGGAAGGGGCACTGCTAGAGGAAATAGATTTGTATGATTCATTTTTGGGAATATAGAAAGAATTATCTCTCCATTCTCCCTTTATCTTTGCTTATGTGAGAAATGACCCCATTAAATGTAGTTAGTGGCATTGCATGGTATGCAGAAAGAGGGCCAGAGCCCAATGTTTGGTAGCCATTGGATCCTATGCACCATGAGGACCCAGGAGTTCCTATTCACCTTTTAAGGGGTTGTAGTTGACCTGTCAGAGAATACACTTTAGAGATTTCTTGGTGATAGGAGTACTGACCTGACAGCACAATTGGGGACAGTGTATAGAATTGCTAATCTATGAACTGAATGGACGATACGGAACCTGTGAGGCTAAGTCAGCCAGGGAGCACAGCCTGGGAGAGAATAAACAAGAATAAGGGACAGGGGTTAGGGGAGGCTGAAAGAAAGAAAAATGGAGCCCTTTAAGAATTATGGCAGGTTTAATAATACCAGAAGAGCAAACCACAGCAAAGCAGACTAGGGTCATTGTCACAGAGGTCACAAGAACCCTGGGACAGTACAAAATACTCTTTGTGTATAAGGATTCTCTTATGGCCACTGGCAGGAAGGTGCTGGATTCTGACTCCTGCACAGCCGTGCAACACTGAGGAAAGAAATAGGTGAGAGTGATGAAAAACATAAAGGCTAAATTTTCAACTTGACTTAATTGAAAATTATTTATAAGAACAAAATTATCATTTAGCAGGGTTGTTTAACATTGTAATATTTAAAATTATATATTTAGACTAAAATGTTTTTCTTCTATCCAGAGGATAGGATGATGATCATGTTCAAGTTATTTGAGGGATTAAATAAATAATTTGCATCATTTCAATTTATCAGAAGGTAGCACATGGAGAAATGTGGTTTTGTCCTTTATTACTCTGCTGAGGATTAGGAGTGCCTGGTGTGAATGCCTGTGGGTATCTCTGCTTTTTTTTTTTTTTCTGGTACTGGGAATTGAACTCATGACCTCGCGCTTGCCAGGCAGGTGCTATGGCGCTGAGCTAAATCCCCAGCTCCAGCTACCTCTGCTTTGGACGGCTCCAATCCTCCGGAGTTGAGTGATGGTCTATAAGGACAGGCGCTCATCTACCCACAGGAAGCCTTTCTAGTGGGACTGAGAATAAGCTTCTAAAAATGTTAATAGGAAAGCCTTGGGTGTTGTCTCTGGAAGGAAACCTGCACCCCATTTTATCTCCGTTTAATTTTCTTTTATAATTTATCTTATTCCTTCTCTATTTTTATTTTTGCTCATTATTTTTCCTTCCCCCTTTCTTGGAATTTTTTTCATATTATTAAAGCTTTTGTTACAAAATTTACTATTCAGTGCTTAATAAAAACAGTAGTTTTTATGTAAATCATAAACACTAAACTTCCTGCCGTATTTCAACACATGAAAGCAAATACACGCAAAAAGTCACAGTTTGAGCTATGCAAATGCAATTTAATTATGTAATTTGCTTACACATGAGATAGTCATTTCATTGATACATTAACTCACAGAGCATCATAAATGCAACAGTTCCATGTAGTTACTGACTAAAGTTCTTTCAAATATGATCTACTTTAGAACACCTTCATATTTTAGTTAAACAGTGAAAAACACACTTTAGTTTATAAGAAAGTGTTAACAGATGGCTGAGGGGAAACAATGCAATGTTCATTTTGTCATGCATAATCTAACGTTTGGCATGATTTTGCCTAACAAATTTTTAAGACAGTCCCACCAGAAGCACACTATTTCACAGTAAGGTGTGAATGTATGGAAGA